TTGTGGTGTACTGAAAATACACTGAAAATTGAGTGGAAGCGGAAAGGGACCACTGCCAACAAAATAAGCCTTTTCAGAGTGGATGTCACTCCTCCTTGTTCATCTTCTTCAATCACGCTCAATCATCAACCACTACAGATGTCATTTGCACCTCTTAACGGCCTGCTGAGGAAAGAGGGCAGTTGTACACAGTGTACAGAAACTCTCCCACAATAAACGCTACCTGAAAATGGAGCTAGCAGTTACTGAATCACTGACAGACATTCTGCCCGGCTGCCTGTTGACGGTTTTAGCTAGAAGAGCAAAAGTGGCAATGGCACATGGCTGCCACTGTTCTGTTGTTTTGTTTTTTCCATTTTACCGTTACAAACTGTACTTCTTGTACATGTATGTGAGAAGCACTGATGGTCAGAAGTATTTTATTGAACACTCTTTCTTTTTTTTAAATAATGTTGTTTAAATATGTAAATCTCTATGTCGACAAACGCATTTTCCAGAACCTCTGCCTGTGGGAGATCAGACACAGACAGTGTTAGTCTGAGAACAAGATAGGACCTCGACTGAAGAGTTTTGACCAGGTTGAGCCCAATCATGTTTAGTAGTGTCACGTGTTCAAGAAAGAACTCACTTCAGCGGTCACCATAATGCCTCAAATTTGTCATGAAAACCAGCCACCATGTTGTGATTTTGTTATGCTTACAGGATCTGCACTCTTTGAGTGTTTAAAATTGCCTGTTTTTTACGCTATAGGGTGTTTACTAATGTTTGTAAAAATCGGTCCGAGGTTGAAGTAGTCATGTTTAAATGTAATAATATTAACCAATCAACGGTTACAGTGTCCCTTACTGAAGTGCAACAAAGTCAAGAATCACAGTTGCCAAAATCAATAAAACAAATAGGTTTGGATGTCTATTTAAGGTTGTAATTATAAAGAAAGTCTCCGGTGAAGTTAATTCTACTTTTAGGATTATGATAAAACATTTCAGGGGACTTTAAGGGAATAATTTTGGGAAATATGTTTGAGATAGATGAGAGGATTGATAGCTTTGTCAAATCTGTCCGTGAAATATGAAGCTGCAGCCGGATAGCTTAGCTTAGCATTAAGACAGCTAGCCTAGCTGTGTACACACGTGACAAAATCTGCCTACCATCACCTCTGAAGCTCACTAATTAACACATGAAATCTTGTTTGTTGATCTTAGAGATTTTCCTTTCCCCGTTTCCAGTCTTTGTGCTAAGCTAACTAGCTGCAGGCTGGTAGACACAGACTACAGATGCAGGAGTGGTAACGATCTTCTCATCTAACTCTCTACCAGAGAGCAAATAAGCATATTTCCCAAACTTTTTGAACTGTTCTGCTCTCTTCTCTACAGTTTTGGCTTTGCAACAGAAGTACTAGATATATCCTGTTTATGTCACCCTCCTGTATAGAACTTTCCCAGCAGTATTGCCATATTGGTTTCACTTTGGATTTTTTTTTTTTTTTTTTTTTTTTTTTTTTTTTTTTTTTTAACCATTGCTTGATGAATGTTTTCTTTGCCAAAAAGGTACGGTGTTTGCTGCTTTACAGTGTAGTATGCAGGGTGCACAGTGTGAATGATTGCTAAAGGGATGCAGTCTGGTACACCCATATCCACTCTGCATGGTACTTTACCAGGAGTCAATCCATTGGCCCTTCCCATCATGTATTATAAATCCAGAGTCCTTTATTTGACCTTGCCAGACTTAATTCCTGTAATCTGAAAAAAGCTCAACCTAAAAAGATCCCTTTAAAAAAAAGATAGAGAAATGTTTAGGACATTTTCCCAAAGTAGGTTCTAACTGTGAGGATGTTTTTAAGAAACAGAAACTCTCATAAGCCCGTGGCTCCTGTATATTTATTGAATATATTATTTTAAAAAAAACATTTTTATTTTATTTTTTTTACACTGATGACACAAGACATTGTAGTTTATTATTCCTAATCGTCCCAACTTGATCAAGCAGTCAGTTTATTTCATTGCCAAGGAAAACCAGCTTGTGCAACTGAATGCTTCAGGGTGAACTTAACTGACCGTAGAGCAGCACTCAGGCAGGAAAATGTGTTTTTATAGACAGCAAGATGACCCGTTCCTTAGAAAGATCGACCTGTAACAGAATCAGAGTCATAAACTGAGCTTCTGCGTCTATCAGTGGACATGCAGAAAAGTGTCTTTGAAGCCATCCCTACCTGCTCCAGGTGGGTGTTGCTGTTGCTCTTTGGACCCCTCAGTGACATTTCAAAATATTTGACTGGGCATGTTTAGCTTAAACGGATTAATGAAGAGCCAGATTCCTAAAAATAAATACTGGTGTAAAATGGCAATACAGCTAAAATAAATCCAAATTTACACTTCTGCTGCACGGGCTGGCTCCTCACCCTCTCACTTTTATTGGTGCTCCAGGGACCTTTATAATTATCTGGGTGGCTCTTAAACTGTCCTCAGGGCATAAATGGAATCAGCTGGTATGTTGGAAGTTAAAAGCTGTCATTCCTCCAGTCCCTGGTTTCTCCCCCACTAAGATCTATGGCACAGCTGGTTTTCCGTGGCCCAGAGCAGGATACGCTTCCCTTGAAGGCCGCAGTCACTCTGCTAGGTGTAAGGAGTTGTGAAACTATGTGCTCCTGGATCTGATCCACACCTGTGGGCAAGGCCTCAGCCACCTGCAATGCTGCTTACACTGTACCAGACTGATGACAGCGACAAACATAACATTGAAGGCGAGATAAATGGAAATAAAAACACTCAACATTGTTAAAACATTATCTGACTTATGGCCTCATTCTTTTCTCCATCTTTACAGAACACATTCCTGCACTTTGACTGTTTGCTACTGCCTTAGAGGAGGAAGAGTGAATTAGAACTTAATGTAAAGAATGTGTTCAACCTTTTGGGAAATGATGGGTGAGTTTGCTTTCTTTTCAAGAAGTAGCTTGTTTGAAAAGCTTGAGACCACTCATACAGTATCTCAAAAAAGTGAGTACACCCCTCACATTTGTGTAAATATTTGACTATATATTTTCATGTGACAACACTGAAGAAATGACACTTTGCTACAATGTAAAGTAGTGAGTGTACAGCTTGTATAACAGTGTAAATTTGCTTTGTCTTCTCAAAATAACACATCACACAGCCATTAATGTCTAAACCGCTGGCAAAAAAGTGAGAACACCCCTAAGTGAAAATGTCCAATTTGGGCCCGATTAGCCATTTTCCCTCCCTGGTGTCATGTGACTTGTTAGTGTTTTAAGGTCTCGTGTGAATGGGAAGCAGGTGGGTTAAATTTGGTATCATCGCTCTCACACAGCTTCAGTCCATTGAGGGAAACCGTGAATGCCAACATGTAATGTGACATACTAAAGCAGAGCATGAGCCCCTCCCTTCGGAGACTGGGTTGTATTCCAACATGTTAACGTCCCCAAACATCTCCAAGACGACCAATGCCTTGCTCAAGAAGCTGAGGATAAAGGTGATGGACTGGCCAAGCATGTCTCCAGACCTAAACCCTATTGAGCATCTGTGGGGCGTCCTCAAATGGAAGGTGGAGGAGCGCAAGGTCTCTAGCATCTGTGATGTCGTCATGGAGGAGTGAAAGAGGACTCCAGTGGCAACCTGTGAAGCTCTGGTGAAGCCCATGCCCAAGAGGGTTAAGGCATTGCTGGAAAATAATGGTGGCCACACTAAATAATGACACTTTGGGCCCAATTTGGACATTTCCACTTTTGTTGCCAGCTTTTTAAACATTAATGGCTGTGTGATGTGTTATTTTGAGGGGACAGCAAATTTACAGTTATTCAAGCTGAACACTCACTACTTTACATTGTAGCATTTCTCCAGTGTTGTCACATGAAAAGATGCAATCAAATATTTACAAAAATGTGAGGGGTGTACTCACTTTTATATGGTAAAAATGAAGCTGCAGCTATATAGTTTAGCATAAAGCCTTGAAATGGTAAAGTGGTCTGGCTCTGTCCAAAGGAAGTGAAATTGCCTACTAGCACCACTTAAAGCTTAAAAAATAATTATATTTCATTTGTTTAATCTATACAAAAATAGCGTAAGTAGTAGTGTAAATACAGCGGTGACTCCAGGAGGTTACTGGTCCCGACCAAGAAATACAAAACGACCGAAATGTAAATGCAACAAACAAGACATCATGTGTTTGTATGGGAGCTTCAGGTGTGCTTGTTGGCAGATTTTGGTAGCTTCTGACTGAGCCAGACTAGTTGTTGACCTCTTGTTTCCAGTCTTCATGCTAAGCTAACCAGCTGCTGTCTGTAATTTAGTATTTATTATACAGACATGAAAGTAGTATCTTTTCATTAAACTCTTGGCAGAAAAAAAAGTGTGTATCCCAAAACTATTCCTTCAATTGGTTGTAAATGCCGGTTATGCAGTGATTGTGCCCAGAGTGAAATGCAAGCCATACTTATGATTTTTTTATTTTTTTAAACCTCCAGTGGCTGTTATTCCCTTTTCTGCAATCAAAAGCCAATTGTTTATCTGGCAGGAATGCTACACATCTGGTTTTCATTCATATTAAGATGACTAAAATTTTACTTTGTAGATATTTGGCCCTGCAGGAGAACTGAAGGGATGAGGTGTGGTTGCAGCATCCCCAAAACCCAGAGGAGGGGTTCAGTCCTGGCATGAGTGAAGGAGAAAGAAAAATGCGACCCCACCCCTCAACTTCAGCCAGCAGAGAGAGGGGTTCACACTTTTGTGTAGCTGTGTAGTCTTCAGCTTTCTGACTTAGCTTTTCTTGTCTCATGAGGGTTAAAGTTTGGCTTTCCAGAGGAGGACAGCGCATGTATAACCAGATTTCTCCCAGCTCTGGACAATGTTTTCATTTATTTTATCCTTTTATTTAATAATACATCTTCCAGTCACTTGTACGGAGAAAATATGATTTACCTTTTTGCCTATAATTTCATTTTGCCACTTCAACTCACTTCACAGAGAACACAGCCGAGGCTGTCATCAGCACGGCCTCACAGAAAGCCGGGTTTATTGGACTGCGCAGACTTTTGCATATTCCTCCTCAGCGGGAAGCACCGTGTTTCTACATGAATGAACATGGCTGACTTGTCAGAAGGCTGAATGGTGAAAGAGGCTCAATATGTATTACACTGGAAAGGAAGCTGCTCTTTGATACCAGTGGCAAGCAGAGCTGTGTCCAATTCTGTAAGAAACTCAGCGAGCATAAGAATTTCAGTCCTCTAGTTTAAAGTAGCGTCAGATGCATAGTGCACTGAGTCATACAAGCCCACAATAATAAAAAAAAAAAAAAGTCTTTGTGTAACACATACCCCTAGAGGGACACCCATAAAACTGGTAAACCATTTGACTGATAATCCAAAAACATGAAGGGGGAAACCGATGAAGGAAACTTGCATAATGTCGTGCATGTAAATATACTGTACAAAGCATAGCTTGTAAGCATAGTTGCAGCATGTTGTAGGCCCTTTTGTAACAGTCTTTTCATTGCCTTCTCTTTTGTCAACGGCAAGGACTGATAGAGAAATGTCTGGTATGCTGGTGGCAGCTGAAGTCCAGAGAAGCCTGGAAGAAACAGGGAGGAGTCAGCTCGTCCTGGACTGAGCTCTTTGGTCCAATATTTAGAGATGCAAAATGTTTGAAAAAGTCTTAACATTGTCCTGTAAACAAGTTAGGGTACATGCAGATCTTGTTGTAGGCAGCATTACTGGAAAACAAACGGTTTCCTTCGGTTCTTGGTAAGTTTTTCAGTTTGTCATTGCCTTTTTTATTGTCAAGAAAAGGCCCCGAGCTGGATCTCCACCAATTATGTCAGCCTGTCTGCAGCAGATTAAAATGGCAGATTAAAGGGTATTCGTGCAGTCTCTGGCAGTAAAGACTGGGAACCCATGCCTGTCCTCACACCTGTATGCGCACACATCATACATCTGACAAGCTGCTTCCTTCTCGCCTAAAACTCTTGACTGTCCAGGGAATGCTGTTAATATAAGTCTTCATAAATCTTCCTCCTATGTGTCAGTGAGTGTGTGCCAGTGGCAGACCTGCTGTCCTTCGGCCTCTTTCATCTCTGCCCAGTGGGCCTGCTGCTCCTCGCCGGAGCTGTTTAGGCCCAGGGAGACCCAGCCCAGCCTCTCCCTGGGCCTCATGCTGCTCCGGCGGCAGAACACAGACAGCACCAGCGACACCTCGGACAGCTGGAAGAGCGCCACTTGGAACACAAACGTCTCCTTGTAGGTGGGGTTGGGCTGGCCGCGGCATACGGCCGTCTTGCACTTGGACATCTCTTTCCCCTTGGAGTCCAGCATGGTGAGCTTCACGTAGGTGTCTGAAAGGAGGTGTGGGAGAGAGGTTAGAGTGCCATCAAGTGGTGGGTAGCAGTACTGCAAGAAACATTACAAAAAGTGTGTAGCAGAGGTTTTGAAATAGGTGTACATTTCTCTTGTTGTGCTTTAATCTATCTAATCTAATTTAAACCTTGGAAGCAGAGTCAATAAATGGAAGTAAACCAGAACTCTTGGTCTAAATAAAGACCAGGAAAGACCAGTGCTGTACATTAGAATGTGTGTTTTTAAAGGGTCAGTTCACTAAAAAAAACAGATTTGCTTATATTTTCATATATTTGTTTAACTCGTACAAAAACATACATATAAAAATCTCAAGATATACAGTAGTTTATGGGAGGACTAACAGATTTTTTCCCCTTTGGACAGAGCCATGCTAAGCTAAGCTAAGAGTCTCCATGCTCTAGCTTCATATTTGCTGCACAGACACACATTTCCCCAAAATTTAGTTTCCTATTCCAAGAGTTGAATGCAGTTTTTCAGATCTGAAAGCACCACAAACAGGAACAGGATTTGGATGAACTGGCCCTGTAATCTAATGTTATGTAAGTGAAAAACAAATTAGAAGGATTGCATGCTAGGAATTTTTTGTTGTTTTTAAACATGCATAATGATAGAACTTCATGCAATAAACAAAATGTAGCATTTTGGGCCTTAAAGACCTTAAATTATTGTGAACACATAATTCAAATATTTCGAACACTGATGACCCAAAGATTACTAGTAATTTACTGCTGACTTACCTCTCATGATATAAAGCTGCCCCCCTACAAAGTGTTTTATACAACAGAACAGACCATCTGTGGAACACACCATAGCACACAAGGTTGGAAAGAAGAAAAAGAGGAAGCAGGAACAGTTTAAAGATTGTGACACACACCAGAAGATCAGCTTTCATGGGAACTTTGATAAGCAGCAATTGCTTCGGCATTATGGCTTTAATCACTAGAAGGTTACTAAAAAGCTGGTGCTGTTGCCAGGAAACATTTAAATGTAATGGTGCACAATTTGTGTTTGTTACATGCTGCTGGGAGGCTTGCCCATCTGTTTTGCCAAAACAATTGTCCTAGAGTATTAGCACACTTTGGGGAAAGTACAAGGGAAAATTTCACTGAAAGGAACATTTACATTGTCACTCAGCACCTCATTCCAAGCTGGCACAAAACCCAGGAATTAAACGATTTGACATGGAAGCTTTTGTACGTACTGACGGGTTTATCAGACGCTGTGGTTTTGAAGTGGCTTCCCTGGATGACCTCAGCAGATAACTGTCCTGTGGCAGAGTTGTAAATGAGACCCAGGAGGATCTCTGGCAAGGAAGAGTCTTCAGTGGAGCGATAGGACGGCGCTCCTGCACTGCGAGACACGCTCACCAGAGAGCCGCAACCCTGGCAAGATGAAACACACAGAGAGTTTGTTAAAGCTGGAGTGTACAAATAAATTAACTTCCATTACATTCAAGCCCTTGCCAAACAAGTTCACACAATGCCGATTAAGCCCGTCACTGCCAGTTAGATCTCTCTGTATTTCACAGAATACGACTGGTGTCTGTGGCAACGTTCCCGAGCTGGCACACCAGTAGTGATGTGTTTTATGTCAACCAGCCGTGATTGGTTTCAGGGGAGCAACCCAGAGTCGTGTAGAGAGCTCCACGATCTGCCATTGCTTTAAAAAAAAAAAAAAAAAACAGTTAAATGGAGAGAATGTTTACTATTGAGAATTTTTTATTGTTTATTTTGTTTATTATGATTATAGAGTTTGTGTTAATATGCTTTGGCAACACTGAACTGTGTGCAGTCATGCAAGTACTAGGAGAAGAGAAGGGACTGAGGGCAGACACAATGTTGCATTACTTATCCTGGACAGGTTGGTATTTGTAAAATATTTCGAGTAGGCTATGTAGCTGTTACATTTACTCTGACTATATAATGGATGATTGTCTTGGAACTGAGCTCACCTGCAAGCAGACACAATAAGCGTGCATCTGCAGTTTTTTGTGTAATTTTTCCTACTGCCAGTAGAGAAGACAAAGTTCTGCACTGCAGGTTTAGGAAAGCATCAGTGGGATTTGTACAGTCTTTCTAAAGGTTTCTATGGTTTAGATTCATAACCAAAAAAGAAGATAGTTTGACCTTTATCTCAGAGCATCACAGCACCAAATTACATGAAAAACCTTTTAGCCATGTTAGCAGCATGAGTCTATCAAGTATAATATGTACTAACAAGAAGTAGAATTTTTTCAGACTGGTAGTAGCCTTCTACGCAGACCCTGGAGACAGTTAGCTTAGCTTAGCATACAGAATTAAAGCAGTTAGCCTGGGTCTGTCTAAAGAGCTAGAAATCTGCCTATTAGCTCTTCTAAGTACATAAATAACCTTTTAGCCACGTTAGTGGCATGGGTCTAGGGATGGAGGTCGGTTGGACAGTCGAACGGTCCACAACTTTCATGTAGGCAGACATAGCTTTGCTACTATTAGTTCAGATGTATGTACATTTTGTACAGTTTTTCATGGTCCACAGAGGATGAACCCTACTGATTTTGGTGATCCTCTTCTTCACAACTATCAGATGGATGGCCACGGAATTTGGACATTTATGCTTCCCTCAGGATGAATTGTTTTAACTTTGGTGATGCCCTGACTCTATATCCAGTGCCCTCACCAGGTAAAAATTTTTAATTCTTCCACTACTTTGGTTTAGGACAAAATACCTGCCAATTTACGAATAACAACCCCCTCCATCTCAGCTGTACTTTGTTTGTATTTTTGTTCAAAAATTAATTTTGGTTTGGATGCTAAACATTTAATCTCAGCATGTTAGCATGCTGACTTTAACATTTACCTCACTGTGCCTCAGCACAGCCTCACAGAGTTTCATGTAATTTGATGTACTACACAGCCTGACTAACTAGCATTACATTATAACATTTGTTTTTAATGCATTTATATATAATGTATTTAAAGTGGATCCTTTAATTGTCATCTTTCATGCAAAAATGACCAATTGTTGGTTCCTGCTTCTCAAAAGTGAGGGATTTTCTGCATTTCCTTGTTTTACATTACAGTAAATTGAATATTATGGGGGTTTGAACTGTTAGTTCATCACCTTCGGCTCTAAGGAATTAAAATGGGTATTTTTCACTATGTTATAGTTTTCTAGAGCAAACAAGGAACTGATTTATTGAGAAAATAAGATCAATCAATAATGAAAAAAGTTGAAACCCTAGACTAATTTGCAATTGAATTAAACAGGTCTACAGGTGAAATGTTCATTGTCAAACCAACGACCCAGATGCCTCAGATAAAACTATGCACAGCGCAAGATGGAAATGCCCAAAGCTGTCTCACTGTAAGTTCAGAGCCCGGTTCCAGGGTGACAGGTAGAGCCATCTTGCCCTGCAGGTTGAGCTTAGTCAGGTAGAAAACCTTCTCTCCCAGGACCTTCTCCTTTTTCATCCGCCTGATGCTGTACAGGCGGAAGCGAACAGCGTAGTCCCCTAGGGTCTCCTGTTCCACCCTGGAAAACTTGAACGTTTCCGTGAAGACAGGACACGGACCCTTCTGCACACCAGTCTTGGCCCGTTGCTTCTTGGTGGGCAGCAGGACCAGGTGGACCTGCCACGCAATGTTACCCGTCTGTTTAAGTGCAGGAATGTCTGTTGCAGCAGTGACCGTGACGGCCAAATACTGCTCGCTGGAGTCATACTCGAAGGCGACATCCAGCGTACCGTATTTGCCGAGTGGCTCTGGCTCGTAGGCTGTAGGGAGCTGAGGACCAGAGCCATCCTGAGTGAAAGAAAAAGAGAACGAGAGGAATCGTGAAGAGAGAGAGTGAGGCTATAAAAGAGGAGGGGATCTTTAGTGTTAGAGGGACTGAAAAGGTTGTTTTAACTTATTAACTTTCATCAACTTCCTCCATTTCCTAAATAGCATTAGTTCATTTACTTTAATTGAACAAGTGAATTTTTGACCACAATGCTTTGTTTGGATCAGCTTTTTGGCACTGATTGTGTGTTTAAAGATTGTAAGTTGTTATTGATGTTCTCCAAAAAACCTAGGAAGAAAAAGAAATATGTGTTTAAAATAATTTTTGCCCACATTTGATGTTCCCACACATTCAAAAGTTGTGTCTCCTGCTGCAAGAATGCAGCAATAGACAGATAAGGGAAAATGGAGAGAAAATGTAAATGGGTGTCTGAATGTGTCACACTGTGGGCATGTTTGCTCTATTTAGTTAGTTCTTAGTCAGTCTGGTTATCTTTACAGGTGCTGGTCATATAATTAGAATATCATCAAAAAGTTGATTTATTTCAGTAATTCCATTCAAAAAGTGAAACTTGTATAATTTATACATTCATTCCACACAGACTGATATATATCAAGTGTTCATTCCTTTTAATTTTGATGATTATAACTGACAACTAATGAAAACCCCAAAATCAGTATCTCAGAAAATTAGAATATTGTGAAAAGGTTCAATATTGAAGACACCTGGTGCCGCACTCTAATCAGCTAATTAACTCAAAACACCTGCAAAGGCCTTTAAATGGTCTCTCAGTCTAGTTCTGTAGGCTACACAATCATGGGGAAGACTGCTGACTTGACAGCTGTCCAAAAGACGACCATTGACACCTTGCACAAGGAGGGCAAGACACAAAAGGTCATTGCTGAAGAGGCTGGCTGTTCACAGAGCTCTGTGTCCAAGCACATTAATAGAGAGGCGAAGGGAAGGAAAAGATGTGGTAGAAAAAAGTGTACAAGCAATAGGGATAACCGCACCCTGGAGAGGATTGTGAAACAAAACCCATTAAAAATGTGGGGGAGATTCACAAAGAGTGGACTGCAGCTGGAGTCAGTGCTTCAAGAACCACCACGCACAGACGTATGCAAGACATGGGTTTCAGCTGTCGCATTCCTTGTGTCAAGCCACTCTTCAACAAGACACAGCGTCAGAAGCATCTTGCCTGGGCTAAAGACAAAAAGGACTGGACTGCTGCTGAGTGGTCCAAAATTATATAGTTCTCTGATGAAAGTAAATTTTGCATTTCCTTTGGAAATCAAGGTCCCAGAGTCTGGAGGAAGAGAGGAGAGGCACAGAATCCACGTTGCTTGAAGTCCAGTGTAAAGTTTCCACAGTCAGGGATGGTTTGGGGTGCCATGTCATCTGCTGGTGTTGGTCCACTGTGTTTTCTGAGGTCCAAGGTCAACGCAGCCATCTACCAGGAAGTTTTAGAGCACTTCATGCTTCCTGCTGCTGACCAACTTTATGGAGATGCAGATTTCATTTTCCAACAGGACTTGGCACCTGTACACAGTGCCAAAGCTACCAGTACCTGGTTTAAGGACCATGGTATCCCTGCTCTTAATTGGCCAGCAAACTCGCCTGAACTTAACCCTATAGAAAATCTATGGGGTATTGTGAAGAGGAAGATGCAATACGCCAGACCCAACAATGCAGAAGAGCTGAAGGCCACTATCAGAGCAACCTGGGCTCTCATAACACCTGAGCAGTGCCACAGACTTATCGACTCCATGCTAAGCCGCATTGCTGCAGTAATTCATGCAAAAGGAGCCCCAACTTAGTATTGAGTGCTGTACATGCTCATAATTTTCATGTTCATACTTTTCAGTTAGCCAACATTTCTAAAAAATGTTTTTTTTTTGTATTGGTCTTAAGTAATATTCAAATTTTTGGAGATACTGAATTTGGGATTTTCATTAGTTGTCGGTTTTAATCATCACAATTAAATGAAATAAACATTTGAAATATATCAGTCTGTGTGTAATGAATGAATATAATATCCAAGTTTCACTTTTTGAATGAAATTACTGAAATAATTCTAATCTCTTCTAATTATATGACCAGCACGTGTAGTCTTTTCTGTATCTGTTATTTTGACTCTGTTTTGGGTTTCAGTCCTGTCTGTTGTCTTGTGTCTAGTTTATACTATGTGTTCATGCTTGTTGGTCTGATGTTATGTGTGTCTTGTTGGGGGGGGTCTGTTTGTGTAGTTCTGGTATGATCTGTTTAGTTTCATTATTTTGATTGTTCTGCTATAGTCTGTTCTCGTTATGTTTATTATTCAGATTGTCTGAACTGTTAAGTTTTGCCCTATTATGTTTAGTTTATTTTCTGCATTCGGATTTGCTTCTGTCGGTTCCTCCAGTAATTCTTCTGCCTGCTTTTCTGCTAGTGCTTTGAGTTCCAGTTAGTGTCTTTTCTTGTGTTTTGCATCTGTTAGTATCTGTCACTTCCCCCCCTACTGTCACTCTACCTATCTGTCTGCTTGTGTCTTATTTTGATATGGCCTCTGTTTTGTGTTTTGTAACCTGTATTATGTCTGTTACCCCAGTAATCCCTCTGCCTGCCAGTCTCTCTGTTTTCCCCTGCTCTCACTGCCTGCCTATGTCTCGTTAGCCTCATGTCCCTCACCTGTGTATCTCCTCCCATCTCGTTTACCTTGTGTATATATCCTTGCTTGTTTCCCCTCAATCTTTGCCTGGTCATTGTAGCTTGTAATGCTCTGTCCTGTGATGTCCTCTGTCTGCCCATTTTTCCCCGCTAATTCTTGGATGACCAGTTGGATCATTTGTTTGTTGGGATTGTTTATTTTACTTTGAATACCCTGGACTCAGCCACTGTGTTTGTAAGTGTGCTCGCCTTTTGTTTAATTAAATCTTTTTTTAACTGCACCTTCTTTGCTCCAGTGTCCTGCGCTTGGGTCCTCCAACCCTTCTCGACCACACAATCCTGACAGAATGTCTCAAGTTAATTGAGATATATATATATATATATATATATATATATATATATATATAAGCTACACAGTGTGTCCACTTAGAATCAGATTTACACTTGTATTTGTGTGTTCAAAACAAACACCAATAGATTCCCAGATTTATTGCTGAATATCATACCAATCCTTATGAGTCAGAATTGATACCAAGATGATTTACAGTGCCAGTGGAAATTGCAACAATGCTGGTAAATTTGTTTCCCTCTTAAACAAGTACAACCACCCTGTCTCCTCATGTTAAGTTGACCTGTAACTGACATTGTAACATAAAATCACATTTTAAAGTGAACAAGTTATTTAATTACTGTAGTGGTCTAATATAAATGTCTAACTAATTGGTAATAATGCTGACTTTTTATACTATGTTTATGGTGAGCTACAGGGCAGATATAAAATACAAACTATAAATAGAATTGTTATGTGCTGCTTAAGGACACAGAAAGGGGGAACATACCTCTGGTCCCAGCACAGCTGTACTGTCACTGGGTATGTCCTCCTCACAGCCTTTGTTGAGGTAGCTCTCGGTGTCCTGGTCCACACTGGCCTCACTGGAGCAGCGCAGTGGGGACGACCCCCTCCTGACCGCCTGCTCTGAGTGGGAATAAGAGGACATGTGGGTCGCCGAGCCCTCGTCCTGGTACGGAGGAGGCTGGGGCTCACTGAGCGAGGAATCTTTCTTTATTCTCTGGATGCTGTTGGCTGCTTATATGACAGTGACAGAGAGGGACACAGAAGGAGTAACGTGATATGATTGGTGTGTTACTGGAGACATACTGTGCCCTGAAGGGATGCTTATTATGTATGCAATAGGCAGTCTACCACAGAGTCAAGTTAGAGGCCATCCTTTTAAACTTTTCCAGTCTTTATGCGAAGCTAAGCTAACCGTCTGCTGGCTATAGCTTCATATTTAATTCATATTTAGTTGTTAGACGTGAGAGAGCTAACAATCCTCTCTGCAAGAAATTGAATGAAGGCAATGTCAACAAGATTCTAACAAACAATGGTACTTTGTACACAGTAGTTAGAAGTTATTATTTTTATTAAATTCATGTTAATTAAGTATTCTTTAATGTTGCATGTATAACTCTACATAACTCCACAATGCCACATATTATGTATTTATATTTAAAATAATTTATCATATTGAAATTTATTAAATCTTTAATATTCCTTGTTGGTATATTAATATTATTTTATCAATATTACAATATATATATATAAAATAAAATGATTGTGAGTATAACACATGAGCATCCTCTCACCCCGTTCACTGGAGGCTTCGCTGCTGTAGCCTCCCTGCTCAGTGGACTGTTTGTGTTTGTTGCCCCACACAGAAGTTGTGTTCTGCTGGGCCACAGCCTCTGGGCCTTTGTCCTCCTCGCTGTCCGATAAAACTCCCTCTGGAGAGAACACACGGAGACTCTAGTTTAAACGTTACATTTATCTCACCAAGCGTAATGTGGACAAGGCACTCTGGAAAGGTTAATTTCAGGGTGTATGAACGTCAGGTTGTGATTTCAAATAGTTGGCAGAGTTTAAAAACAAGAGAAGAGGAGACCCACATGGTGAAATAAAAGCAGCACACCATCTAACCTTGGTTGCCTTTCTTTTTTTTCTTCTTGCTTTTCTTCCCTTTCTCCTTCTTTTCCTCCAAGTCCGAGGCTTCCTCCAATTTCTTTGAATCCCCCTTCACTCCTTTCCCCTTCTTCTTTTCTGACTTCATCTTTTTTGCTTTTGAAGAAGCTTTAGAAAGCTCAGCCTCTTCCTCATCATCTCCCTCCCTCTCAAGGTCCTCCATCTCTTTCTCTTCTTCTCCCTCGTCTTTTGGCTTTTTCTGTTTTGATAGTCTGCTTTCAGTCTCAGGACCAGGCGATTGAGGAGGTTCATCACAGTTGCCGCCTCTTTGCTGAGCACCGGATTTGCCTCCACTCTCACTCGCCTGTCTGTCTTGTCCACCTGTGTTTTCTGTTTTCTCTGAAGCATCAGCTCCCTCCTCTTGCTCTCCATCTTGGGATTCCTCTTTGTTTTTCTGTGACTTGCCTTCTTTCTCCAGCTGCTTCGCTCTCTTTTCTTTTCTCCTCTGTTCTCTCTTCTCCTGCAGCTCCTTCTCCTCTTTCTTCCTCCTCTCTTCCTCTGCTAACTCGGCTTCTGTCTTTTTAACTCGCCAGCATCCGTCCCTCCATTCCCACTCCAGCTGGTTCTGAGTGTGCTCTGCCTCTGTAGTGAAACCTGCCTGGTTGGTCTTTGAGGCTGTGTTGCCTGTTTCTGAGTCTCTATTCATTTGCCACATGCTCTTACTGCTGGCCTTGCCCTCCTGTGATGCGGAAGTCTGACCCGACTCCTGGCCACTGGCGTTTCCCCCATCTTCCTCGTCCTGCACCTTGTTGATGATAGTGGTGACCTGTTCAGTCAGTTGGTCGCTGACAGCATAAGTGGCATCGCTGACAGCGCTGGCCAGGTCGTCCACACGGCTGGTGACCGAGTCCAAGATGGAGGAAATGTTGACAGATGGCAGGTTCTGCTGGAAGCTCTTGAAGAAGGCCATCTCTCAGCCAGGATCCCGTCACCACGCTGACCAGCAGATTAGCTCATCAGAGGCACTGACATGGACATGTGGTTGTTAGCAGGGTGTGCTGCCAGCATCACAGTTTGTGCTGAGACCAACACGTACACACAGCGCAATATGGTGATAGTAAAGATTATAACTCATGTTTTGCAACAAGAGCTCTATAACAGTGTTTTTGTACTCCACTATTTGCACTCTAAAGTCTCTTTTTAGAAAACTATGGCCTCAGTTTTGTCACAGGTTCAGCCTTCACTTAACTCTGTTTTTACACATTTCATTCTCATCCTCCAGGTTTCCCCCCAGTCCCAACACTGTTCTCATTTCAGACCCTGGGTGCTTTCTATTCTGTTAATTATACTTTCTCTTGTTTTAGTCAGAATGTTTATTGATTGGTCGGCTGATCTGATGTGACAGTAGATGGGGTGGCTAGCCTGTTGTTAAGCTAAAAGCTTAAAATTTCAATAATATAGCAATTTGCACTGTAGTGCAAACTGCAGTGGAAACGCCTTTGACATTATTCATGTTTATTCATCTAATAAAACATTTTACATGTGCAGAATCTGAATTACGAATAATGAATCATGAAAACATGATTACGCATGTTCGCTAGACAGTCCTATACAGCTGCACAGTTGAGCTAACAAATATGTACTCTATATATATATATATATATATATACACACATACATTGTAGCATGACATCAGATCCCACTCTGAAACCATGTATAGAATAAATGTATGCAAAGTTATGCTAAAAGAGGCTGTGTAAAACCCTACTCCCTTATGTCTATATCCTTTGTAAGTGTCTATTTTATATTATCATTCATTGTGGTAACCAAAGTTCGTATCTCCCCTACACACCTGGCGATGATTGCTTATTCTCTATGAAAAAAGGCGGGTTACAACCTCTCATGGTGCTCTGATGAAGGCTTGTTTACCAAAACGTGCCAGGATAAGAAAGAAAAAGGTAAACTGAGGCCATATTATGAGATTTCTAACACTATCCCATTTTATGAGCTGTTGTCCTTTTAGCAGAGCACCCATTTCCCTCAGAGGAAGTACACATTTTGCACTGAATATGCACGTTAAAATCAGCCTTAATGCACTGCAACACTGAAGATTTAAAATGAAAACATGGATCATAAAGACCTTAATTTGATGTCATTAGATGTGGATTGTTGCAGAGGGGCACTAAAAGGTTTGTTTAGATATATCCAGTATATATCTCCTGCAGCTGTCTTTTTCTTGTATTTACTTTGGTTACATATGGGAGAGGTGTCTGAGGATGAAAACCAACAGGGTGATCTTCAAGGTCTTAATATAAAACCAGAACAAATCCAGTAATCATCTGAATATTTGTGTTTAAATGCAGCCACTGTGGTAAATCTAGAAGTGTGCTGAGTACCTGGCTGGGTGTTCTTATAGCCACCGAGATGTGACAGTTTGTCAGGACTCTCCACTGACAGCTTGTTGCTGAGATAAAGAAAAAACAGAGCCATCAATGCCATGAAGGCTCCAATAGAAGACAGGACACCCAGAAGCTCAGGGGAGACTGAGGAGAAGAAGAACAGACATACAGAGGGAGGGAAGCAGGGAGACAGGGGAGAAAAAGGAAAGACAGACAGAAAAAGAGAAACAAAAATTAGACATGGACAAACAGGTAATATTGATTATGGAGTTATATCACAGTTACATTTTCAAACCAAAGTTCCGATGGCTATTACTTTAATAAAAAGAAATACAGATGGCTGTAAGCTTTGAACAAAATACTTTTAAGGCTGTTAACAGCCCCACTTTGATACTCAAAATAATTCTTATTGATGAGATTCATCTTATTTTTGAATCAGACTCCTGAAATGTTGCCTTGCCAGGGGAGCATTAGCTATTGTGCTTGCTTTAAACAGTCTGCGGTTTTCCACTTCAAAGGCATACCAGATACAATCTACAGCACTGTATGTAGGCCAACCATACTTCATGTAACCATGCAGCCCTGTGCTGCTGATGTGCTATTTTTATGCAAGCCTCAAAGGGACTGTATCTAACTGAAATGTAGGCTCAGTAAACCAGCACTGGGTCTGCACTTAATAGGCTACGACACAGACACACTGCAGTGTAATAACTGAAGAAAAGGGGAAGTTGGTGGACAATGAAGCATGAATGGTATTTCCAAAGACCAAATGCCTCAGTGGAAAGGGCAGCTTGTAAAATGAAGCACACTGTAAGCGAGGCTCTGTGATATGAGGTGTCTGAATTTCAAGTTGAAGTGCTTGAGGTGCATAATACAGTTTTTGGATCGCACAATTATATGGACATAGTCGACAGTGACTCCCTTAGTGTTTTACTAGAGACACCAGTCTTCAATGCTTTGCACACCCAAACAGGTGATTTCAATTGACCGTTCACGAAACCTCTCCCCTGAACAGCTCAAGCTGTTGAGGTTGTGACTATGGGGCGGTACAGTAATACGCTTTTCATTTTTTTTGCCTAAACACAAGAACAAAACTGTAAACAATGGATTAAACTATGTACTACAGCAAACATAAGTCCTCATCGCAAAAAGCAAAGTGCAACTTATACACATACATAAATATACAAACAATAAAGCAAAAATATAAACTATGTGTGTCATCCAACAAATGTAAGTCCAGTGAGCTCCTTTAAGGTCTTTCGGCCTCCACCAACTTCTAAGTGAAGTATCTGATTCCTCAGCTGCTAACTTTGTCTGTCTGCTGTCTGTGCTGGGTAGGTAGTGTACAGAGGTTTGTCTTTTTGCTGCAATCTGTTTGCTGTGTCTGGAATTGCCACAGATGGCCCTGAAACCAAAAAAATTAGTTGAAAGATGCTAAAACGCTTCGAAGAGCTGAGGCACAGTGAAACTGGCTAATACTTCTCTGTGGGTTCATCACTACCAGCGACATTACATTACTCATTACTCACTTGATTCATTGTTACTATAAAAACAATGATTAGTGCAGCTTTAGGTCCCTTCTGGAATGTGATTCCAAATTATCCTTAGTGGCATTTTGTGTTATCTGTTTCATGTAACACTCTTGATTTTTCATTAAAATGTGGTATTCCTGGTTTATTAATTAAACAAATACACCTGAATTGATTAGTCAGTTAATTAGTTGATTGACAGAAAACGAATCATCAACAAACTAATCGATTAATCGTTTTAGTCACTTTAAGCTAAAACCAAACATTCCCAGCCTCTCTGTGAGGCTTTGCTGTTTTTCTTCGTGATAGTACAAAAATAGTAACAATGGGTTTTAGACTGTTAGTCAGATGAAACAAGCAATTTGAAGACATCACCTTGTTTTTAGGAAAATCATTTTGCATCATTTTATGACTTTCATAGACCAAACTGTTAAATAATCCATTGTGAAAATATTCAGCAAGACTCATCAATATTCAAAATATGTCTTAGCTGTAGCCCACAAAAAAAATGGTGCACAGCCCAAACGTTGTAGCATGTGGTTTTATAGCAGGTTCTAACTTTGGAAACAACCATCACCAGTCACTGCTTCAATCAGTCAACAGTGTGAAAACTGGTAATCTCCCTGAGAGCGCGAACAAGACAGGAAGAGAGACAAATTGAGGCATAGTTTCTCAAACCTCCAAACTACATCCTGAACTTATGGACAGATTTGTTTCACCATGGCAACAGGCAGAGACCAATGCAGCCTGACAACTAGCGCCGCTGCCTGCTGCAGACTGCCAGAATGATGAATGCTAAATTCCCAAGAATGGCAAGAGAAGTAGGAGAGAGATAAGACAGTGATGTGGCTGCAGAGACTTACCTTCTCTATCCTCTTTAATGCCAGCTGTTCCCATAAAGTAATATCAGAACTGCTGTTGCTAAACATAGTAAATGATCCAAGAAGTGGAGAAAAACAGTTGTCCTGCTCTGAAGTAATCCGACATGTAATAAATCCCTAACGCTTAGTCTAGTCGAGCACTTGCCAGGCTCACGTATCAACTCTCACTGCTGACAGTTGTGTTGATTGAACCAGAATGACCTCTGCAGCCATGGGCATGGCAGCCGCCTGTGGAAATGAACAGCTTATGGCCCTGTGCCCCCGCAGTGTGACGATGCTTCATACATGGCCCCGCTGTGTAAATGTCAATGACAGCTGAATAATTTAGACACCTGAGATAACCCGATCCGCCCGTCAATGTACACTGGAAAGTGGGGCGGTAGCAAGTCGGTTCTTGCAACAGCTTCAACACCCATCATTCTGAGTAACATCTGACAGAGCAGAATAAAGTGGATTTTTCCCCTCTTCTCAGCCACCTCCCTTTCTCTTTGTCTGACATTTTGACTCCCCTTATTCACCACATCCATCCTCTCTGAGCATGTGCATGTACAATTTCTGTCTGCACATAAAAAACAAGAAAATAAAACCAAACAAACCTGCTGTTTTTGTTTTGTTTTTTTACAGCATGTGAACTGAGGCCGAACTCAGGACTCTGAACTGAGCCTCAGGATTCAATCTGCTTTTCTTTCTAGATAATGAACCTGACTAACAAACATGAGAACGCAGCCACTGAAGCATTCAATGTGAAAATTAATAATAACCTCAGAGAAACCTGAACTCATCTAGATGGGTTAAGGTTTTCAAATAAAAACAAGGGAAACAAATTATTTTGTCATGTTTCTGCATCTTTGCGACACAGGCAGAAACAAATGCATGTCACATTTCCTCAGTGGGAACATTAACCTTCATTAATTTATTCATGTAATAACTTTTTGAGCTTTCAGTGTAGTGCACACTGAACGTGGCAGTAGTTTTTAGGGCATGCTTGTTTAAAAAGTAGGTAGGCAATCTGGAAATGTTGCTTACACATGGACCTCTGATACGAAACAAAACCTCCACACTGAATAAATCATGAACACACAGCTGCCTTCTTTTGCTGAAGTGAGCTAAAACTCGATATGCCATGCATAATTTACACACAGATATTAAGCTTTCTAAGGTCCATATAGAGACACTTTCTGTACACCAAACTTCACAGGAATATGGCCTTACCTCGTCTGGCACAGATGAGCTCATGAACACCACAGTTCCTTCCCCCTCCTGGTTAGAGAAAGAGATAAGAAGTTGGGAGTCAGAGGTTAAGACATGATTCTGTGTTCTATAGAAACATATGTTCATGCCTCAGGTTAGGAAGGCTATAGAGCTGATTTACTGGAACCGACTGAGAAAACTCTCCCGCAAATGTTTAATTCTGAACTTCAAGTTAACATAATTGTGCCATAAGAAGGAAAACAGTTAGTGTTATGGACAGGACAATTTCTTGGTTTTAGATGTGTTCGTAGGTAGCTTTGTTTTTCCTTTGGACAGAGCCAGAC